GTCCCGCCGGCAGCCACTGGGTGCTGGCCACAGGACTAGAGTTCTGCCTCTGCAGCACTGAGCCACTCCGGCTTTCCCCTCAGGGGGCGCACCCCAGGGTAAAGCAGCATGGCTGCAGCCCCCGGCAGCCAGCACCTGAGCTGGTAGTCCCAAAGGAGAGAAGTCTGTGGGTCTTATCCACTCTGTCCCAGTAATAAATAAAATGCTAATTAACACCTACTACTTCTTCATACATAGATACGTTACGTAAAATTAAATTAGAAATATTTCAGCATTGCAGATTTAAACAATCAAAATGGTAGGAGGTACCAGATTTAAGGATGACCGTGTAAAATTAATCCAGAACTCTTCTCCATACATGTAACACAGCACAATTTTATGCTGTCGCCAGGTGCCTCATTCAACCCTGTATGCAACACAGTGAATGGGCAGTTCCTCAGGTGGTGGGCAGCTCCATGCCTTATTAACTGCATATCAGTGTTTAAATGGTGCGAATACAGAGTTATTAATTTCATTCTAAGCTTTTCTATGGCACTCTTCACTATAGAGTAGTCCAGAAGGCAGATCAATTAGACCTGCACAACTATGGGAGGTAAGATAGTGATATTTCCACTTTTATGCAAGAAACAGAAACAAAGGTGTGAAAAACTGTCAAATGTCTACTAGCGTGGGGTGCCTAAACAAACACTGAAGGCCTGAATTTTTACATAAGACTATGTGCAGAGCAACAGCCCCACTGACTTCAGTGGCAAATGCTCAAAATTTTTATAAATTGGGCCCAATGTAAAAAACGGTGCAAGTTACTTGACTGGGACAACACAGGAAGTTAGGAGAAAAAAATAGAATTTAGAGGCACTTACACACATTCAAGGAGCCTGCTTCAACACGTTGGAAATCCAGCATGAAATTGATGCAATCTGACAGTCACATGCATCATATGTATCAGTGGCACAGCACATTTCCATGTAGCAAAAATGGGAGCAGTTTTGAAATAAAACATGTTTGATGTGCTTTGGTTCAAAGCACCCTACCATCATTTTCTCAGCACAGCAATGTGCTGCGCTACTGATACATGTGCTGTGCAGGTGCTTTTAATTAGCCCAGCTTGCTAATTAGAAGTGCCCAGTGAGTGCCTTGTTGGGAACACATGTAAAAATGCCCTCGTTTTCCAAGTTGATATTCACCTAACTTAAAACCATGATTATCTTTTTGCTGACCTCTGCTTCAATTCACTATACACCTTTCCATTTTTACAAGTAAAGCAGGAGTACTACAGAAAGCAGAAACATTTTTTTATGCCGCCACAAAGCACCATCTATTGAGTACAAAGGATATGAAGTTTATAACAAACTGACAACAGCAACTTACTTTTTAATTAAAAGTGTTGAAGAAACTGCAACTTGTAGTGATGGTATATTATGCCTTTGTTTTATTTTACTAACAAAAAAATAAAAATCAATATTCAGACTTTTTTTCTTTGTAGCTACCTTAAAGAGAATTGATTTTACTGGAAATATGATAGAAGTAATTGAAGATGGAACTTTTGCAAAACTTCTGTTATTAGAGGAACTTTCACTTGCTGAAAATAGGCTTGTAAAGCTTCCAGTTCTGCCTCCTAAGCTAATTACGTTCAATGCAAACCACAACAGAATTAAGAGCAGAGGAATCAAAGCAAATGCTTTCAAGGTAAACAGAAATGATAAAAACTGGAGTAACTGAAATAATGTAAAACAATATCTATAGTAGTCTAGTCATTATGATATTAAATTTTGTTTATACTTAGTTTTTTAAAAATAAGAATAAGTGTAAGAATCTTTTTTTTCAGATTCTTAGAATACTACACTTTAAAGGCATTACAGCAATGATTCTCAACCCTTTAGATTCAAGGTACCCTTCATTAGACTCAAACCACCACTTAAAGCTAGGTGCTAGCATTTTCTATGTCATATTTTTTACTACAGAAAAATAAACAGAACAATTCTTCCGTTGCAAAGAAACAGAAAGTTCATAATAGATCAGAATGTTTTTGTCACTGGATTCCCATTTGAAATCTCTAAAATATCTTGTGAATAATGTGCAGGTATTTGCACACCTAACAGTAACTACTGTGTAGCACTCTACTCTCTAGGAGATCTTGCCTCATCCTAGTTTAGAATCACTTCATTATATAATAATATCAGTTGTATCAATTGCTTAATGACATCAACTGATTACGGGTGCATATGAGTTCCACAGTTCTAAGACCTAGGCAAACAAGTATTATTTGCTTCCAAACTGATGTCAGATTTGATAATTCTTAAACTTTCATTGGTATACCACAATTGGTATTCCATAAACTAAATAAGAAAAATGGTTGGCTGTCATCATTACAGAGTGTATAAAAGGTAGTCTGGGTAACGTGATTGAAAAGAAACTTATCTTTTTGTGATTTTTAACTCAGTCTTAGAAGATAATACTCAAATGACTAACATACATATATATGCAGCTCAAACTTTCATATGGAAATAATTTTGAGGCTGATATCAATAGCTGATATTTAAGGAGGCATATTGTCTGATACCAATCCAATACAGCTGCCTGCAGGTGGTAAGTCCGGTGTAGTGGAAGGGGAGAGGGAAGGGGCATGGGAGAGGGGGGCAAATGAATGCTCCCCATGATGAGGGAGAGGACAGGGGCAGAGGCAGGTGATGCCCAGGAGGACCGGGGGGGGGATTGGATTAGATCAGGGGTTTCCAAACTGTTGTACACATACCCCTGGGAGTACGCAGGACATCCATGTGGGGTATGTAGGAGGAAGGTGGACTTAATTTTCATTATTATTGGCATTTAGGGGGTTAGAATATAAAACATATATGTTGGTAGCAGTATGCGGACAGCTGGTAAATCTGGAAGGGGGTATGCAATAAGAAAAAGTTTGGGAACCTCTGGACTAGATGACCACCTGAGGTCTCTTCCAACCCTAACTTTCTATGATTCTAGCCAATGGTGTAGCTCAGGCAGATTCGAGATGAGGAAACTTGCTCTCTTGCTAAGTTATAACGCATTTTTTTGCTCCCAAGCCTCTGAACAAAGACTTGTTGCCTTAGCAGTACTTATAGTGGGGGCCACCCCTCCACAGAGGGAGAAAAAAGGTGGAGCATGCTCTTTTGTCCCTGAGTTTCTCTTAATATCCAAACTGAGGGCATTTCTCTTCAGCTAACTACAATGGTCCACAACTAACGAATATGAACAGTGAAGCTTCCTGGCTTTGT